GACAACACGTCATCATAACCCTTCCAGGACTGTCATTAGCATTCTTTCATTCCTGCAGCAACTGCATTATAAGGTATCTCTTTCCTGATTTGATTAGCATCTTCTCAAAAGCTTGAGGGGGGATGGCAGTATAAAAGAGTTACCTCTAAGGACAAAGAGAGCATTGCCCATTCTTCAGGCCCTGAGACCAGGCCTTTAGAGAATCGACTAAACTATGAAATGGAAAGACTTGTAAAAGTAGCCCCTAGAGTGAGCATTGACCTCAATAAAATTGCACTACTTCTTTTAGGCTAAGCATTAAATTATCTACTCAATTCTCTTTTTAAATGCCAAAACCTTTACTATTTTAACCTTGGCACAAAACAATTACATTCAGTGGTTCTCAACCTTCCTGATGGTGAGATCCTATAATACAGTTCTTCAAAGTTGTGGTAACCCCCAAACATAAAATTATTCTGTTACTACTTCATAACTGTAATTTATTTTGCTACTGTTATGAACTATAATGCAGATATCTGATATGAAGGATATCTGATATGTGACCTCTCAAAGGGGTTGCAAGCCAAAGATTGAGAACCACTGATATAAGTACACAGGAGATGGTGAAAGGTGAGCAAAGGACTCCTTGGTTCTTAAAAGAAGGGTTATCTAAATTTGATGAAGCATCTGTTAAATCTAGTATTGTAGTGGAACCTAGATACACAAAGAAAGCAGCAATGTGTTCTATGATAGTTAGAATGTCAAACAACCAAGAATTCTCTGTGAAGACTTTCAACATGATGTTGCCTTAGGTTGAACTGTGGTCATGTCTGTGAGGGATTGTTTAAATTAACTTAGTTGGTTTAACAAGACCTATCCAATTGTGGGTGGCAGCATTCCCTAGGCATGGAGTCCTGCATGACATGATAAAGCCATCCAGCAAACAAGATAACAGTTTGCATGTCCATTTATTAATTTTGATCCTCTTCCCTTTGTTTTCTGATGTGTATTTCTCTATTCCTTGGATTTTCTCACTTTTATTCTTCACCTCTGTCTTTTCAAAGAACCTAGGGGATCATTTTGAATCAAACTCTTGTTCTTTCCTATCACTCTGCACACTAAGTCTTCTTTAGGAAAAAATGCACAGAACTAGGGAGTTGAGGAAAGCACCAGGGAGTCACTTTTCTTTTTCTATCAAGTGGGTACTGGAGATTGAATTCGGCTTATCAGGCTTTGTGGCAAGTGCCTTTACCCACTGAGTAGTCTTTCTGGCACTCACAGGTCTTCCCAAGGCTGGAACTGTATATCAGAGCACCATCCTCTGCATTTAAAACAATGTTGCTTGTGGAGCAATACTGAACTATCTTATTTGTGCAGCAAGTAACAAATGTGTGTTGCTCTTCAATGAATCAGTTGCCGTTCTTGTTCTTACTGGGAGGCATTTTTAAACAAAGGAGTAAGAAAACCTTCCCTTCTGTGGTCAGGACAGAGAAAGACGATAAATAGAAGATGTAAATGAGTCATATGAACTATAAAACACCCGAAGTCATAAGAGACAGAGTTGAAAGTATCTTGCTGGGGTGGCTGCATCTTGATTATTTCAATACAGCTCACAGAAAGCTGAGAACAACCATTGCTTTCAACTTGTTACACGATTTCTGGAATCTATATTCAAACAACCTTGTATGCCAATCAACGGCCCCAAAGACACAATAAAATATACTTACAACATGATTTTGGTTGTTTGCCATCTAGAATGTATTCTAACTACAACATTTTACCATTTCAAAGATTTGAGCATATTCAGATGCAAAGTCAAATGCAATTGATTATAACTGGTCACATGATCTAGAAAGTGACTCTCTAATTACTAGTGTGTATTATATAATAATATGTACTGTGTACACAGATAATATGTTCTATTAATAGGATAATGGAAGTTGCTTAGCAGGTAGCTCCCAAATATGAATTCTCATTCTGAAGACACAATCCAAGCTATGTACTCCTTTAGCCCCCATATGAAACATCGGTGACTACAAATAAAGTGAATTTATTCTTCATCATCTCTTCTGTGGGAGAAGTTGTGGGTCAGCTGATTCTTTGACAGAGTTTGATGGAAGACACAAGCTACAGACGAGAATGGTGATCTGACCTCTCTCCGTGTATGTGAAGAAGACCAATGGTGAGTAATAGAAAAGGCAATAGCTGGACCGCTTACCCTTCAAAGACAGCATTATCAGGCAGCAGGCAAGATGAGTGTTCACTGAGCATGGCTGGGGTGGCAGAGATGTGCAGAGAGTTTTGGACCACTTGCTATCACCTGTTTCCTAGTCTCTATCAAGAATCAACCTGAAAGGTATGCTCACACCTTGTCTATGTAATTTTGCAACCTGTAGCAACCTGTCTGTTTTGCAGAAAGTTTGTAATCAGAGAATCATGCCAACCAACCAGAAAAGCCTGCGATGAATTACTATGTGTGGCTTAAAAAACTGATGTCAGAAATAGCTTATTAAAACATCACAGTGCGTTTTTGAGATCATTTGTATTATTATATAATGAAAAGGGAAGAAAACTTTCAGTACGCTATACTTCCAAATATTTAACTGAGTGTTGTGATACCTTTGTAACAAAAAGTCATCTCATTTGACCAAGGACAGTGTACAGAATTGTATTGTGCTCCATTAAGTAAACAATTGAGTCAGTCCATGCACAGGGAAGCAATGACTTGTGGTACTTAAGGGTGGTGTGTTTGCCTGCATCATTTGTTTTTACACTCCTTACCACCGTCCCAGAAGTTCTCATGGCAAAATAGCTGAAGATAATAGCTGAGATTGATCCATTAGCTTAAAATTTTTATGGATCGTTTACAATGGGCAAGTCAGATAGTTCTATGAGACCAGGAAGTGGGAGACATGATAGCTTTTAAGCAAATAATTATGAGTGTAAGAAAAATCAATATGAATAATTAATGAGATAAAGGTGGTAGCTCAGTGGTGCAGGACTGTGTTCAGTCCCTAATATCACACAGCCAATGAATCCTTGTTCTCCTATTTTATATAGGCTAGGAGTCTCTCTGTCTCTGTGCTCTCTCTCTCTCACCCTCTGGTTTGGAAAAGGAAGAAGCTATAAACTGTAAAACCATGCAAATAGCTGTTACTGCCAGGCTGTGTGAGGGAGGTCCCTTTCTTTTCTTCTTTAAATTAAAACCAATCTTATTTACATACCAGTCCCTGTTCCCTCTTGCACTCCCCCCAACCATCTCCCTGTCCCACCCCCTCATCCGTGCCTCAGAGAGGGGGATGTCCCTTTCATATGCAGGCAAGAAAGAAATGAAACATCTTGAGTATCATAGCATCTCTAAAGAAAAACTCTAGGATATCAAGTAGAACTGACTTTCTCTATAAGTAAAGCAGAAACATCACACCAACTAAACTCCTGGGTCCAGTTCGTTCCAAACCACTGGCCCTTGTTTCTCTGGTCTGTGGATATGCTGAACTTCTGGGTTCATGAGATGGGAATGACTTCCCAGGTGTGAAGTAAACTGTACCAGATGTGCTCCACAGGCCAACTCTGGCATTCTGTTTACTCTATTGAGAAAGAATTCCTTCCCTGCCCCACAGTCCTTACATTCCTTTCTCTTTCCAGCACACATTGAAGCTTGTGATTGCATGATTGAAGTTAATAAAGTATGGTCCACTGATATCATAGTTTCATTTTATCCTATCACAGAAGCAACTCCACTGCTCTCATTCCATACCCCAGGTTTGAAATTCACTGGCCTCCTCTTACTTTCAGTTTCTGATAAAGTAGAATCTAAGGTTCACTGTTAGTACTATAACACTCTGGTTGAAACTCAGTGGTTGTAGAGTATCCTCCCCTCACTCTATACTTCATTGCTTTGGATGTTGTAATATTAACAGAATTCTTGAGACAGGGAAAGCCACTATAGGTATACTTACTTCCACCTCTGCCACCTCTGTGGTGGGTGGGGAGCAGGGGACAACCTCAGGTATGATTGTTCAAGTGCCATCCATCTTTTACTTTCTTTTGAAACATAGTCTTACACTGTTCTGAAATTCATCCAGTAGGAGAGGCTGGCTAGTCAACAAACCTCAGAGAACCTCCTGAGTCTATCTACCCAGCTGTGATTACAAACATGTGTCACCATACACCCAGCTTTTTTGCCTGGAGGTTCCCTGGAATCAAACTCAGGTCCTTGTGCTTATAAAGGCAAGCACATTATCAAGTAAGCCACCACCCCAGCCCCATGGATTTGCTTTATGAAAGAGTACAGCCACACTGAGGTTACTGAGAAAGCTTTATAATAAACTTTTAACCCAGGAGGACTCAAGGGGACTGATGTATTCAGGATCTGCCATGGGCAATGAGTTTATGCAAATAATCCCACGGGAGCCACTGTAGGATCTGATGGGTCCAGTAATAGCAGTGTCAACCTAGCAATTCCAGAGATACAGTTTTTGGAATGCAATCTTTCCTCCTCCTCCTTCAAACTCATGAGGAATAAACAGTTATTTGTGATAATTGCCAAAGAAGAGCCATCACTGGGGAGTCGTGGGGTATGAGTCTCTGGTCCCTATGTTTCAATAAGGGGGCCACTAGGCTGAGTTTCTTTTTTAATTTTGTCTCAGCCAGTATTTCTGCATCTCTTGTATATGATTCTCCTCCACCATCGCCCACAGCATCTCCATGGCTCCAAAGCCACCTTCTGGGTTCTACATTTTAAAGGAAGGACAATGTCTATTTTTGTTTCTTCTCTTCCTCTCACACCCAGTTCAATGTGATGCCACAAATATGGCTAGCTGTTTGGAATAATTTGCAGAATTTAACATTACAGGCAAGCTCTATCTTCCAGTGTATATTTTGAGTATTTTCTCTTGAGTGTCAAGATTTTATGCATTACAGTATGCTCATGATATTTCTCCATGCTTTATTTTGGGCACGATAAAATCTGTAGCAATTAGTTTCTCACAAGTCTATTTTGTGCTGAAGAATCTGTTATTTGCTCCTCGGGTGGTTTCTTTGATTCTACCTTTACCACGACTGACTGTATTTATTCCCAGATTGATATTCTCTCTTTGGGTTTGGCAACTCTTCTCTGGCTTCTGGCTTCTGGCTTCTGGGATCTGCTCAGCCTTTTTAAATGCAACTTGGTAAGATGTCAAATGCAAATGAAGATGAAGCTATAGTTTTGTGAACCTTAAACATGAGTTAAAATTTTTAAATGCTTATATCAACAGGAAATGACAGAATGTATGCAATTTATATGTTAATCTTGTCTAAAATGTATGTATTTCTGTCACAGGAGCCAGAAAGAGAATAGAAGTCAGTTGTTTGAGATCCCTTAAGTGGATCACAGTTGATCTGAAGGGGATAATGCAATTGCAGCTATGTGCTTCTTAACAATGGGATGTGATCTGGAAAGAATCCATTAGGTGACTTTCATTGTGTGAACATTCTGGTGTCCTTATAAAAACTCAAATGATGTAGGTCAGTCTTTCTGTGCAGCCTCTTGATATGCAAAGTAGGAGAAAGCAGGAGATCTTCCATCTGTTTCTGCTATAAAAAAGAAAAAAATTATAGTAAATGATATCTATCTATCTATATATATGCTCATATAATATTGTATATATAATTAGAAGGAATATACTCTTTTAAAAATTTATCTTGTTTTTAATTATATGTATATGTGTGAGGAGGCATGTGCATATAAATTTAGGAACTTGTGGAAATCAGAGGTGGACATCAGATCTTCTGGTGCTGGAGTTATAGGCAGCTATGAGCCACCTACATGAATGCTGAAAACTGACCTCAAGTCCTCAACAAGAGGAGTGCCTTCACTTAACCATTGAGCCATCTCCCCAGGCCCATTGTATACACTAAAAACTGACTAGAAATACAGTATAACAAATAAATAAGCCACAAACCTCATCATTTACTGTCATTATCTCATACATACTTGTGTATGCTAGATTTTCATACAACTGGGAGAAACACAAATTATTGACATAATCATGTTAATAAGATTGAGGGCGGAGGAGAAACACTTCATACAGAACCCTTAAAGAAGGAAGGATTTATTTTGTTTCATGTTTGCTGAGGCTGCTATGTGCAGGCCTTGTTGATTGTGACCAATTCATGGTGGCAAGAACATGTGGCAGAGGCTACTCATTCCATGGCAGACAGGAAGCAAAGAGAAAAGAAAGGACCATGGAACAATAAAAGTTTCAAACTTACTTACGCAAAATGAACCATCCTAATATTTGCAGTACCTCTCCAGATAGAGTCACCACTTGGAAAACAATTCTTTAATATATGCACTATTGATGGAGGAGTGTGTTTCTTATCTAAGCTGTATCAAAAGTAAGATGGCTATGACATTGCAAGGAGGTATAATCTTATGGACTAGTGCTTTGTAATGCTCTGAAAGAACCTGCTCACTCTGAGATGTGGGGGAAGCCTCCACATACCCTCAGTTCTTTGAGTTCTTACTCCCATCTTAGACACACACTATTTATTTCTACGCTATTTCACGGCAATTATAGCCTTATGTTTTTAAAGAGATCTTCCCAAAGACAGGGATGATGCTCAGTGGTACTAGAGCTTCAACCACTTGTCAGGTCATTTTTTTTTTATGAGTTTCATGAACTTTCATACAGCAAAGTCAACTTGCCATGCCACTGACCTGAAAAGAACACAAATAGCACTGGGTTCTGACAGGCAAAGTTTTAGGGACTGATGGTACCCAACAGGAATCACTTAATGAGTCCTTTGTTCTTGATCCATTTAGGCTGAGATGCAGATTGCATCAATAACTTGTAACATGTAGCTTTTCTTGTCAGACACCTGGGCCCTGCCACAGTTGCAGTCCCCAAATAACACACAAGACACTATATTAATTATGAAGCTGTTGGCCGTTTTCTTGTTTCTTGTTACTTGCTAGCTCTGATTTAAGTATTTAACCCATAATTGTTAATCTAAGTATTTCTCTTACTGGAGACAAGGGTCCAGACCTCTTACTCCTCTGGCGGCCTACATTGTGTCTGCCTGTGTCTCTCTTTCCCAGAATCCTCCTCGACTCCTAGTCCCACCTATCTTGCTTCCATATTGGCCAACATGGCCAGTGATTTATTAAACAACCAATAAGAGAGATAGATTTACAGAATGACATCTTCCATCAGTAACTTAATTTGCAGGAGAACTGAACTTAGATCATTGTGCATGCTAAGTAAGTATTTTACCATTGAGCTATTTCTCCAGACCTCATTTTGCATTTTATGTTGAGAAAGGGTCTCACTGAGTTGCCTAGTTGTGTAGTCTAGACTCTTAGAACTTGTCAATGTTCTGCCTCAGACTCCCGAGAAGCTGAGATTACTGGCCTATATGACAAGGCCTGGTGAGAGGTCCATTAATTTTTAATTCTGACCAAGTGTTATGTTATACAACCTTAGCCCCAAAATATTGCTGCTTTAGTTATTCATAACTGTTCATTAGGATTTTAATTGGTAAAAGTGAAGTGTTAACATATATTAGAACTTGGCTCTTGCAGCATCTGGGAATCAAGTTTTAGATGAACTAAGGGTAATTTGGATGTTTTTTTTCCAGTTTAAATTTAGATAAGAAACAAAGTTGCTTCACAAGTCAGTTCCAGGTCCCTCTCCCTTTCCCTCCCCTCCTCCCTTGCCCTCCCCCCAACCCCCCCGCCCTGTTATCCCCTCATTCCCTCAGGGAGGGTGAGGCCCTCCATGGGGGTGTCCATAGTCTGTCATTTCATATAGGGCAGGGCCTAGACCCTTCCCCAAGAGTTCAGGGTGAGAGTGCACCTCACATTGTTCTATGAGAGTCCAAAGTCCGTGTGTATACTTGGGATGGGTACTGATTTGCTGCCCAAGGCTCAATAGATTCCCTAGGCCTCCTCACTGACACCCAGATTCAGGGGGTCTTGATCAGTCCCATGCTGGATTCCCAGGCTGATGCCTGGGATTCAAGAGTTAACCTTTGTCTGGTCAGCTGTTTCTGGGGGTTAAACCAGCCCAGTCTTAATCCCTTTGGTCATCAGTCCTCCCTCTCTGTTACTGGCTTTCTTGAGTTCAGCTCAGTACATAACCAAGGGAGTCTGCCTCTTCTTCGATCAGCCACTAAATGAAGTTTCTGTTTCCCAGACTCTCTGGCCATAGGATTGTAGGCTGGCACTCCCTAGATCTATGTCTAAAATCCATATATGAGGGAGTACATGCCATGTTTCTCTTTTTGTGACTGGGTTACCTCACTCAGGATGGTTTCTTCTAGTGTCATCCATTTGCCTGCGAATCTCATGATTCCATTATTTTTTTCTGCTGAATAGTACTCCATTGTGTAGATGGACCACATTTTCTCTATCCACTCTTCGGTTGAGGGACATCTAGGTTGCTTCCAAGTTCTGGCTATTACAAATAAAGCTGATATGAACATAGTGGAACAGACATCCTTGTTGTATGAATGGGCATCTTTTGGATATATGCCTAAGAGTGGAGTTGCTGGGTCTTGTGGTAGGTTTATTCCCATTTTTCTGAGGAATCTCCATACTGATTTCCAAAGTGGCTGAACCAGTTGGCACTCCCACCAGCAATGGAGGAGTGTCCCCCTTTCACCACATCCTCTCCAGCATAAATTGTCATTGGTGTTTTTGATTTTAGCCATTCTGACAGGAGTGAGATGGTATCTGAGAGTTGTTTTGATTTGCATTTCCCGGATGGCTAAGGATGTTGAGCACTTTCTCAAGTGCCTCTCAGCCATTTTAGACTCCTCTATTGAAAACTCTCTATTTAGTTCTGCAGCCCACTTTTTAATTGGGTCCTTTGATGTTTTGGAGACTTGCTTCTTGAGTTCTTTGTAAATTTTGGAGATCAACCCTCTGTCAGATGTGGGATTAGTGAGTATTTTTTCCCATTCTGTGGGCTGCCTTTTTGTCTTGCTGACTGTGTCCTTTGCCTTACAGAAGCTTCTCAGTTTCAGTAGGTCCCATTTATTAATTGTTGATCTCACTGTCTGTGCTACTGGTGTTATGTTCAGGAAGCTGTCTCCTGTACCAATTCGTTCAAGGGTACCACCCACTTTCTCTTCTAAGAGGTTCAGTGTGGCTGGATTTATGTTGAGGTCTTTGATCCATTTGGACTTAAGTTTTGTGCATGGCGATAAACATGGATCGATCCGCATTCTTCTACATGCCAGTCTCCAGTTATGCCAGCACCATTTGTTGAAGATGCTTTCTTTATTCCATTGTATATTTTTAGCTTCTTTGTCAAAGATCAGATGTTCATACGTGTGTGGGTTAATACCCGGGTTTTCAATTCGATTCCATTGGTCTACCTGTCTATTTTTGTGCCAATACCAAGCTGTTTTCAGGACTATAGCTCTGTAATAGAGCTTGAGGTCAGGGATGGTGATGCCTCCGGACGTTGCCTTGTTGAACAGGGTTGTTTTGGCTATCCTGGGTCTTTTGTTTTTCCATACAAAATTGATTATTGTTCTTTCAAGGTCTGTGAAGAATTGTGCTGGGATTTTAATGGGGATTGCATTGAATCTGTAGATTGCTTTTGGCAGGATTGCCATTTTTACTACATTGATCCTACCTATGCAAGAGCATGGGAGATCTTTCCAATTTCTGAGGGCTTCTTTAGTTTCTTTCTTTTAAGATTCAAAGTTCTTACGATACAGGTCTTTCACTTGTTTGGTTAGCGTTACCCCAAGGTATTTTATGTTGTTTGTGGCAATTGTAAAGGGTGATGTTTCTCTGATTTCTTTTTCAGCCCTTTTATCATCTGTATATAGTAGGGCTACTGATTTTCTTGAGTTGATCTTGTAGCCTGCCACTTTGCTGAAGGTGTTAATCAGCTGTAAGAGTTCCCTGGTAGAGTCATTGATGATTTGGGGTTTTTGTAGTGGCATCTGTGGCCATTATTTTTAGTATCGAGGTCTTCATTCTCAGGAGACAAGTTGAATCTTATAACATCACAATAGCTGTCATCATAAAATATATTTTCTAGGGAAGCATGTTAGAGATAGTCAGTGCTGCATTTAGCTCCATTCCCCAATCAGATTCTTAAAAAAATCATTGCTTCCACTAACACTTTCTCTTAGAATAAAATTTCACAGAGTTGTTGAATTTAAGCAAATAATATCTCACTGCTTTAAATGTCTGTGTCATGCTGATATCAAATGTCTGAGAATATTATAAATACAACATGACAAGCAATAAATTATCATCTTACTTCCCTAGCATGCAGAAGGTATTTGTGTCCAGAACTTGTTTTATGTATTTGTTTTTTGTTATTATTATTTTTGTGCATACATGTTTTTGATGGAATGCATTTCACTATCATTCCTAGGTAATGCGATATTTACTTAATTATTTCCTTGTGTACATGTATGAACTGTTGCATGTATGTATGTGTGTTTGCTAGCATAACATGCTTTTGTGTGGAAGTCTGAAGTTCACTTCAGTTGTATTCCTGATTGCTCCCCACCTTTACAAACTGAGTCAAAGTCTCTTTTTGAACCAAGAACTCACCAGCTCCAGATAGTCTAGCCAACAGCTTCTTTCTGGAATTTTCCATGTCTACCTCCCATACATAGGGATTACATACAGATGGACAGACAGGCCCACTGGACCTCATGCATGTTTTATGAGAATCAGGACAAGTTGCTGCATTTGAGTAGCAAGCACTTGATCTGCTGAGCCACCTGGCTACCTGTAGTAGGGGACTTTCAGAATGAAGTTGCTGTTTAATGGCAACGAGCTAGAGGTTTGGAAGCTCTTTGTGTGCTAAAGTAACTCTGTTCATATGTTTGATTTTCAGTGCAAAGAGGAGATGGGCAGATGGAAAAATAAAAACAAAAGATGAAGTACATCAGCAACAGCAACAGCAAAACGTGGACTGTGCTGGATAATGGGTGCAAGCTCTGAAGGGGCTGGATCCTGAGGCCTATGCTTCCCAAGCAGTCACAGAAACAGTGGGTGGCAGGTGTTTCTGTAATTGGGCCACACTGGGAAACCGCACTGCATTGGTCCCATTCAACCTCATCTGACAGAGAAGGTTCTACTAGTTAAGGGAGCAAGAAGAAAATCCTCCCTTGAATCATTAAATAAGTGAGACTGTTGTCCACCATTTCATAATGTGATCAGAGTTTGGTTGTGTACACTATGTTTATCCAGGTGAAGGCTTTCACGGTGTATGCCTTTCTTACTACTTACATATTTAAACAAAGGTTTGCTGCACTTTAGAAAAAGAAAACAATAGAAAGAAAAGCACAAAACCAAACCAATTCCCACTGTCTAGGGCCCATATTTGTGCCAGCTTAACACTGTCAGTTTGAAAAGACATGACCCAAAAAGAGGGCAGCCCAGGGATGGTCAGCAGACTTCAAGAGATGCTCAGAGTCCATGGTCTCCATGGCAACAGAAGGCTTATTATTTCCCCCTGTGGTATTTCACATCACTTTGGATTTGTGAGATTGGACTGCAGATTAGATCCTTAAAGATCCTTGCTTTGTATCTTGCTTCAGCCCTTTCTGTTTAAGGTAAAACAAAGCATTATTCCTCATTTTAGCACTGAGGACAGATTCTTTGATATGTCCATTCTGCTGGGTGGACCCGGATGATCTTAAATTATTGGCAAAGGGAACAAGCCTTTTAAAGCAGAAGTATGGTGAAGGCTGTCACAAAAGGTAGACAGTGGGAGAGGAATGGAACTCCCCTCCCCATGCACAAAATCTCTGCAATGAAATGATGAAAAAGACTGACAGAAGTAGGTGGGAGGGGCGCTGAACAGCTAACAGGAAGGTAGTATGGGTAGGGTCTGTTGCTTTTTCTGCTCTCAAGGATGGCCTTCTACTCTAAAACCGTGTTCTGGGTCATGGTTGATGTACCTGCAGGGAGTGCAAAAAGGAAGATTTGCCTGTGGAAATAGATAGATCTGTCACCTACCAGTTGCAGGTTTTTGTACCTTATAGATTGATTGTTTATATTCTCCCAACATTCATAGTGTAATTCTCATCCTCATGGGGAGACCAGGAGACTAGACCTTTGGGAAGTATAATAGTTAAATACTGCTTGTTTAGTTGATAGGACCTAGCATTACCTCGAGCACCCTGGGCATGGCTATCAGGGAGTTTCGAGATTACGATAATTGAAAATGGAAGAGTCAATCTTAATTTTACCAGTAGCATTCCATGGGTTGGAGTCCTGTACTGTTGGGCTTAAAAATTCTTGGAGGTGAGGTCCAGTGTAACCTCCTGAGCCTGGCTAGAGTTTGGCGATCTGTCTCTAACCTGTAACCTCCACATGGTGGTGACTCAGCTAGACCTGGTGTAAGACTGCCCCCTGCCTAACTACCTGCCAGTTTGGTGGAATATTATTGGCCTTTACTCCTCATGTCGTCACCTTACCCTATCCTATGATTCCTGTCCCCTACCTCAGCCCTATATAAGTTCATACACACTGGAATAAATTGAGATCTTGCTTCGGCAGTCTTAGGACTCAATGTGTACGCCCACGCACAACCAATGGGGGAGGGTCCGAGTCGCTCAGCCCTGGGAAGAGACTGGTTGGACCAGCCCTTCCCTGCTCTACCTGCCAGAAGACCTCACACTATACTGAGTAAAAAAGCAAGCTGAAAATTAGCATTCATCTCTCTGTGCTTCCTGATCATAAATACAATGTGACCAGCAGTCTCATGTTCCTGTTGCCATGACTCCTCAGCCTTTCTAGACTGAATCCTAAGGCTATGAGCCAAATCAGACCCTCTGTCTAGGATTTTGTTTCAGCAATGAGGAAAGTGACTGATAAAGGAGGTAGCTAAAACTGGATAACGACATGAGGAGAAGAGTCCTCATGGTTGCAGTTAGTGCTGTTGTTATAGAAGACCCAAGGAAGCCCCCATGCACTCACTTCCATAAGGTGAGACACACACAAAGAAGGCCTTCTCTATCAAGTTGATCTTGAACTTCCTATCTCTAAAACTGTGAGGAACATTTCTAAGATTTATGATTTTCAAGTTTATTGTAGTCCATTAAAGCTGCCTCCAGTGACCAAAGTGCTGCTCTCAGCAAAGCTAAAGTGAGAACTATGATGGACCATTTTCTTTGGAGAACTCTGTGAATAGGAAAACTGTGGCTACAAATTGCAGGAAATTTTATTGCACTAGCATGTGTTTGCAAAAGTCTTACATATTCTTATGACTTAACGTAGATGTGACTACCACGACATCTTCAAGTACAGGAAAAGAGATATTAAAAACTTGTATTGAGGTCTATGTCCTCCTTAAATAATAGTTAACATTTAATGAGTATAAATTCTGAGCTCCAAATTTATTATTTGTTAACTTAACCCTCATTATAAGCCATGTACCAATGCTTAATTGTGTTACTTTGGGAAGGTTTGCATACCTTACAATGAACTGCCTAGTATGAGTATTTAGGTCATATGCACATGCCTTCAAGTTTATACCATTTCTCTTCCTCCCATGGAGCTTCCCATGAGCCCTGAGGTGATAAAGCAATTCCATCACATGCTGTGATCAGCATGTTGTTCAGCCCAAGTGCATGGGGTAGCAATAGACTGAAACTGAACAATCAGAAAAGTAACTAACATGATAAATTCTAGCCCTGAGTTAGATGGAGATACAAGCAACCTAATGCCATGCAACAATGTCCTCTGATGGCTAGGTGATGGATATGAGATCTGGGGCAGGAGGTTTACTATAACTAAACTGGCTTGGCTTTTCCAGTCTTCTATCTAAGCAAGACTTAAGAGAGAGCTAGGCAATTGAGCTTCAAAGATTTGATTATAATCAATGGGGATGGGTAAGACACTGAAATTGGAAGGGAGGTTGAGAAGTTGACCCAAACTGAAGAGCAATGGTATTGATGCCTGAAGGACTGTGCAGGTGGCTAAAGCTGGAATAGTTGCATTGCTTGTGACTTTAAGAAAGGCAGTAGTGGCTTTATTGGCTATGATGGGGGTAAACAAAAAACAGTAAATCTCAATACTCAAATTTTCAAGAAAAACTAAAAGATGACCTAAGCATAAAAATGATCTACATGCAGGCAGCATTCTAGACTCAAATTGCTTTTAAACTCAGTGTACATACATACATACATGACACATGTGGTGTATATACCCACAGGAAAAGGTGACCTACAGAGACAGCCTACTTGGCTGCTGTATAATATGTAGTCATGACATTAAATAATGAAATATTTAGCATATATGGGTATGGACAACAAGTGGTTGAGATTCAGCTCTTTGTGAGAGAATTGAGAATGGTTGTTTGTCACCTTGGATGACTCTGGAGTCACACATATATGCAACGGAACTTCCAGGAAGAGTTAACCAAGGGGAGAAGACCCGCCTTTAGACTAGGCAGGTCCAGTGGCAAATCTGTGCTGTTTAGTCTGTCCATATTTGCTTCTTGCTGCTGACTGTGTCTATCCTTCTGCTATTGACACTGTTGCCATGCTTCACTGACTTCAGACCCTAGTTTCTTCAATCTTCCATGGGCTCAGAAACCCTCAAAGAAGCTGCCAGGAGGCTCAGCATCAGATTGTAACTCCTGAGACATCCAGCTTCATGATCAGACCAGCTACCTGCTTCTACCTCTCAAGTGAGTACAAGGCCATCGGTCTACCCAGCCCCTATTATACAAACCAATCTAATAGATCCCTTCCATGGTATACATTCATTCTACAAATTTTGCTTCTCTACAGACCAGGACTACTACAAGAACATACTTTTAAATTAAGCTTTAGTTTATTTACAGGCTAAATTAAGGTGGTATTCCTTATAGATAGAGGCAGCTTTAGATGAAGTTTTATTCCTCAGGTATGGAAAAAGACTTGGACCAAATTTATTAATTTAATGAACACACGACATTTATAAATGACTGGTAGATGACAAGTAGTGGAGCTGTTGTCTAGTATTTTGCTCCTCATTTTATCATGAAAAACAAGAAGAAAACAACACCTGCCATCAACAAGGTTAGAATCAGTCAGCATGAGGGAATTAAATTGCAATTCAAAATAGGCAAGGACACAGAGCCACGGGCTAGCTTGAGTTACACTCTTGGGATGCTGCTAACAGACCATGGAGGATGCACCCAACACCTCTGACACCAGGATGTAGAAAACTAAAGAAAGAGAAATGTACTTGAATTGTCTCCTGTGCTGGAAGACAACTACGCAAGTCTGGGCAGCTGCATTGTGTGATTTAAGCAGTTTTTGGAAGATGTAGTTTCCATGAATTTCAGGCTTATGGAGGAAGCCACAAGAAATGGTAGAGCACTAGCACGGACCTGAGGTGGGGCTGGCTTCACAGTATGCAGTCAGGACCAGGAGAACTCCATTGCAGAGAAAGCCCATGTTGAATAAAATACTTTGTCTTTGGAAATTCTTAATATTTTTATCATCACACTTGTGCTTTGTGAGAGAAGACTGCAGCAATGACATGCACAGAGCTATTGCATGGGGATCAAGATTCACTAGACTCGGTACAGGTTAAGTGAAGTTTATTTGGGGAGAATGCACTTACACAAGAAGCGGGGGACCATCGCAGGTTCCAGCTCCAAGGGTCCACCCAGGTTGTCCTCTGTGACCTGACCAGAAGCAACAGAGAACCCTGGGGTCCAGGACCCCATATCTAGTCCTGTCCTCCATCACATCTGCACCTGTGATCACACCCAAATGGGCGTGGTCAGTGCTACAGGTGTGGGCAGGGTGGTTATATCACCACAGAGCCTGCAAACTCAACTCACATGTCCTTTTCTGACTCAAATGCCATGCTTCCCCCTTTGTGCTACATGACAGCCCCAGGCTTTGCTCCCACCATCTGGTATCAAAAGTCATATATACTTGTGATTAGTGTCAAGCTCAGGAATAGGGCAATCAACACCTTGGGGTGTTAGCTTTATCTTTTTCTCTACAGTGGTCCACAAAGTATAGCTATTTTTTTGAGAGAAGAATTGGCCAGTATTTTGTAGTGTATCAGTTCTGGTTATTAGAAAGGTTAGATTTTGTTCACCGTAGCTATAGAATTAAAATGCAAAGTCTACCTTTTTTGAGATAATCAAGAAGCTCTGAAATTAACTGCTGTCTCTCCACTGGGTTAGAGAGATAGCTCAGACAGTCAAGGTACTTGTTTTGCAAACATAAGGAACTGTATTTGATCCCCAGTACAATTGTAGAAAGTTGTTAAATACGGTAGTGTACACTTGTAATCCCAGCCCTTAGGAGCAAGGACAGGTGTGTCTCTGGGTCTCCATAGACAGTACTTTTAGTCCAATCAGAGAGCACCAGCTTTATGTAAGAACTTGTCTTAAAAAATGGCAAATGATACAAGAATTGTGCTCTGGTCTACATGAACGAATGCACACACACACACACACACACACACACACACACACACACACACACACATCCCCAAAAAAGTAAAAAGTTAAAGTGGAGGGTGAGAAGAGAATAAAAGAGCAATAGTTATACAAAAATTAGTGGAATAAAGTCTCCATTACAAAATTTACGTTGCTGTTGTAAAACAGGGAGAGATCTTATCATATA